CGAGTTACTTTTTTGATATTATCATTCTTCATACTCTTCACCATCATAAAGTGCAATAAAATATCCACTAATAATTTTTTCACGTTCAAACTCTAATTCGACTGGAGTATAAAGAGATGAATCGATTCTTACAAGAAATTTTTTGCAATACATGAGTTTATTCAGAGACAGTAACTGGAAGGATTTCGGAAGATGCTATTCTCTTAATCCTTTCAAATTTGCATAGTGGGTTTGTCTCCATAAAAAAAGCAAGAAAGTTCATATTAACATAGTGAAAATAATTTCTTTCCCAGATATACAGTCAATTAGCCACTTCAGCTTATTTTCAGAGCAATAAAAATTTTTTCTATTTACTCAAAGTCTGTGCAAAATTTCAGCTTAATATATGGAATAAAAATATTTCGAATAAAAATATCTTGAAAAAAAATGCTAAACGACAGATGCAAATTTTCATTATTTCCACGAAAAGGTTTTAAAAGCTATGGGAGTTCCAAAACTGCAGTGTCTGTGACTTTCTCATTATCAAAAAATTGCAGCAATATTTAAATAGTAGCTGGATGTTTCTTTTCTATTACCGAATAATAGTGTAATGAAATATAGGACAAAACAACCCATATAGAATGCACGCAACTGTTTAAAAAGTTAGGTTAACGCTTGGAATATTTTTTGAATAATATGAAAGGTCTTTTTTTTCAACAACATTTATTAAAATGTTTTCTCATATATATATCTTCCCTTTCAAAAGGTATAAATGGTGATATGTATGTGAGAAATTAAACACTAACAGATCAAGTTTGTACTGATTTTGTCAGCATTGCCATTGAAAATAAGATACTTTCAAAGTGACTAGTTTTAATAATTTTATGCAAATTTATTACCTTTTTAAGTATTGGCAATGTACGTATAATCTTCAAATATAATAATTGTCACTTTGTGTTTAAAAAAACGCTACATTTATTAAAAAAAAAAAACGAATACTCAATACTCAATGAAAATGTAGATATGGTTCTGATTTTTAAGAAAACTTGCAAAAATTTCAACAGCAGTACGGTTTTATGGAAACAAATAATTTATATCAACAATGAATATAAACATTAAAAGTTTTCCACAGCAAACTGATCAAATCAAGAGATTTGGTCGAATCAGGGTTTTTCTCTATACATGTTATTTTATACATTTTGAACGGAAAGAGATGTCTAAGAACCATTTTAATAAAAAAAAAATAAATAAAAGTTGTTGAGAAGAATAAGAATATTCATAGGTATTATGTAAAAAAATGCATGAAATTAAGAAAAATAATTTCTATGTCGTCATAGCTCTTAGAACAGTAAAACTTGGAATTTTTATGTTAAATACTTTTTATGTTATTAAGATTCCCGTTTGTGGTTTCGTATTTATTCTTTCGTTTTTCTGTAACGGCGTCCAACCTTCAGTTCTGAATCTCCCTGTACGAGCAAAAGATCTATTTATTTGCTGATTTTAACAATGTACCTATTAAGAAAGTTTTGCACTATTAAATGGTTGATTTATATAATTTGTGATTAAAAAAAATATAACTGCCATGAAAAAATTAGATAGTACCTATTTATTAATAATATTACAATTAGACTTACATACAGGTATCGAAGGGTAACATATTATTAATTCGTTGCTTGAGGTCTACAAGTAATTCCAATTCAATTGATTTCTGAAGGTAAAATGCGCAATGCGTTGTACATACCTACTACAATGTAGTAACTACATAGTAGGTACACATTACATAGTACAATAGTACATAGTACATGGTACATAGTATGTAGTACATTGTACATAGTACAGAACAACAGCAAATGAAGATAACCGACGAAGTTTTCGTTGTTTGACTAGTACGTACTAATGTACATATTCACACAGATTTTGTGATGTAAGATTTCACATCTTCCAAGAATCAAAGCAAACTCCGTATTCTCCTGCACATTGTATGTACAAGATTTTTTTCTTTCTACACGTCGTGTTAACCCCGTTAAAACTGAATGAACAGCTGAAGCAGACATCTGAGCATACGAAAATAATTTCATGGGAAGGAATGAATAACTCTCACGAATCTTTGTACGGAGATAGTGCACGTACGAGTAAATCTGACCGCACCTTAATAATAGTGAAATAGCAACTACATTTAGACTAAGGATGCGTACTGACTTGAACACAAACGTTATATATGCAAAAATTTGCTCTAGTTAGTACTAATGTGCGTGTAAATTTATGAACGCACGCACCTACATAATCCATTACTTGTCGGTTTACCAAAAAGACGAAAGGAAACATATATTCTATTATTAACTCTCGTATTTTTTTACTTCATTCAAATAAAGTCAAACAATACCAGAGATCTAGGCATGCAAAAGATATCTAATCCCACAGACAAAATATCTAAATTACGAGAAACAACTACCCTATGGACTACATGCCTCAACTCTTGTCATCGTCGTTTCAAAATATCATTTTTTTCTAAAAGTTTAATGTACCTATATATAATTTTGTTAAATTAACATTCTAACAGGCTAAATCTGTGGTCTAACCATTTGTCGCTCTATGCTCACTGACCACAATGCCACTGACCGCCATAAAAACATCTGCAAACTGTCAAACTCACTCACACATGCACAAACGAAAACGAAATGCACGGTCAACGTCCCTCAGCAAAAAACCTCAGCCGACAGGGCAGGCATTAGGGTGCCGCTAGATACTTATCGAATAAATTGATCGATGCGAAGCTTCAGAGACATGTACAAATGTGATGTAGTTAGGCATGGAGCCCTAGAGTAGTCGTTTCCCGCAATATTATTAGTTAGGAATTTTGTCTGTGGGGTTATAGGATATGTTGAGATTTTTTTGTATCGACTTCATTTGATAAGATTTTTTTGAAACATTTATTTCCATTTGTTTGAATTACCTTTAAAATAGACTAAATAAAGTAAATGAAAGAAATTAATTGTTTAGTATCGATGACGTTTTTGTAATGAAGACCTGTTTACAATTGCACAATTTTTATGCAATTTGGTGTGGAGGAATGAAAGGGTCCTGTAATTACTTAATTGATGAACTCCAAAAGCATCCCATTTTGTGGGATGCCAATCATCCTCATAATTTTTCAAGACATAAGAAATATTTTTTCCTTCTTGTTATTATTATTATTATTAAACCGTTCAAACAGTAGCTGGAGCATATATTTAGGCATATTAAAATAGTTTTATACGGGAAAGAAAATCGCACGTTTATGTGAACATGGAGTTCGTATGTACGATTAAAACTGTTCAAGTCAGCCAGCACTCACCTTTATACTGCCGTGCAAACAAAAAGTGAAATATAGAATCTGTATTATGTGCTATTAAAAACATTAAAGTATCAATCAAAATATGACATTTGGTTTGTGATAATGATAGCACATTTTCTTATATTCTGCACGAACTTTTTTATTAAATCAAAGAAATATTGTGTCTCCACCAGGAATACCTATTTCTGTGGACTATCCATCATTTCTCAACATATGTCGTTTCAAACCACCTTTCAAAGAGTTCAAAGACTTGATGATCAATAGAAACAATGTAATGGTTTTATGGAAAATGCTGCAAGACTTAAAATCTGAGTCAGAGATCACGTCATTCCCACTCTGAAGACGTACTTAGTATCCTTTAACAGTTTCAATAGTTTTTACATAGCTTTTAGATGAAAATCTACAGCAGCACTGTAGCTTTTATTGGACATTTCATTGTTCCGCCCTAATTCTGATAGTATACCAAAGTAAAGTAAAGAAGTGGACCCAGTGCAAAATTTTCATTCGTCTTGATTGAAAAAAAGTAAATGTCCCCTTTTATCCGACGATATCAAAATCTTACAGAATATAATATCTTCATCCCTTGTCAGTTTATAATATTTGATCTTCATTGTATAATTTTGCTGTTACTTTTTGTACTACCCTTGTATTAAGTAGATACAAATTAAAAGAAAAGTTTATTATACACTTGGTTCTAGGAAATTAAACACTTACTGCAAATCAAGTTGCTTACATTTAAAGACACGATATTAAACATATAGTAATGAAAACAATACGTGAGGAAATGTAGTAAAAATAAGACATATTTTCATGAGCACAGTATCACACATAATCAGATCCATAAAAATGTATTCCCCTTCGAGCATTTCTTTAAAATCTTCCTAATATTCCTTTTATTCTAACTACTTTGCATAGTTTAATACTATTCAAACTAATTGTTAATTTTTTATGTATTAGGAACTAGTTAAAGAATAATTTCAATGTGATATGTCTTGCATACAAATAGTTCATTATGATAGAACGTATGCACTTTATATGTGCAGTTAAATAAATTTGTCTGATAACTTATCTGCAAACAGTGGTATCAAAAAATATAAAACTACTGTTTTATTATTTCAATTTACATGACAACTTGAAGTGTAATCACGTTCATTTATTAACATAGCAATATAGAATGTAATACTTTATAACAATTTTTCTTAGGTACTAATGGGTGTATTTATATAGGGTGTCCCAAAACTCGATTGTTGTCCTTCAAAGGACACCTATTTGGCGAACGTAGATTAGAAATAGAAAATAGAATAGAAGGAAGAATAGTTATGAATAGATTAGTAAAGTAGAGTTTCAAAAACGACTTGTGTTTTCTCAAAATTTCTACCAATAAAAAATTGTAACAAAAAAAAACAAGACATAAGGCCATTTTGTGGGTTTTAGTTAAACACACATTTTAGTAGGTTTTAGTTAAAAAATAAGTTTATATTCATATTCAAATAACAGACAAATAAATGTTCATAATCTACCAATAATACAAAGAGCGTTCTTTATCAACCGGCATAATTTTAATGACAACTCCCTCGACATTCACGAAACTGCCTTTCTAATCATTTGTACAGTACTATCCACCCCGTACCGCGTAGGTAAGCCGCCTCTGGTCGCCGCGATGTGCCGCTTGACTGTACCATATTCCTACCAGTGCTGGTACGCGGTGAATAATATGGTCCATAAGAGATTCTTCCGGCTCACACCTCTCTAGTTCTTCAAACTCCAAACCTCGTATCCCCACCCAAAAAAAGTACCATCAGTAGGTACGCCACCAAATTTGCTCTAGTTTACCGGCCGTTGTAACATCTATTAAAAAATTTTACCGTAAGTGTCAGTTAAGCCGGGACACATAGATTAGAAAAAAAGCCGGCGACAATTTAAGTTTGAAGTGTTAATTTTTCATAGAGTGGTCGGCTTAGTGCAAACGCAGCGTCAGTAATGTAAACAAGGACTTTTAAAATCAAAATATTTGTTTAAATAAAAGTGAATGTAGTGTTTATTATGGTAATTTGTATCGAGACCTAGATAAAATATGGATGCCTGTCTCACTAACGCGAAAAGCTGCATTAAAATTCACAAGAAAGGAATGAAGGAAAAGAAGAAAAAGACCACCAAGAAGGTGAATGAAATCGATAATGAAGATAAAAGTAAGGGCAAAAACCACTGGAGGAATTGTAAGTACATACAAGAGATTTAATAGAACCAGTCATAAAACAAAACAAAATATACATATAGTGGTGTAGTGTAATGAATATAAAAAACTGATGAATAATATGGATCATCATTTAATAAAATAATAATATAGAACAAAAAAAATTTTTTTCTTTAAACTAATGCCTAATTATGTGAAAATATTTAAGAGAAAATTCAAGTAAAAAATTCCTTTCATCAAAAGGATAAGCCAAAATGTTAGGACTTATTTATCTCGTATTAATAAAAAATGTATATATAGTTGCGTGTTAGTCTTGTTGTTTTTATTGTATTTTGTGAAATGTTGAATAAATTTCACTATACACAATTCGTCTAAAAAAAATTATGAACAAATAACAGATAATCATGTGCATATTACTGGTGCATTTATTAGTTTTCCACATAATTAGTAAAAGGTTTCTATTTTTCAGTATTATAGTCAATTTAAAAATTAAATTAATTTATATGATACATAGTATGCAATTCCTAGTCGATAGTGATTATAAATTTATTGTAAATACAATTTTAAGTGAAACAGAAGTATATGACATAATAAATAATAATTTATTATAGTCCAGCATCAATATTTTCAGTTCTGATTAAGATTAGATTAAATAATAATTGGTCAATTAAATTGTGAGTACAATTTCAGTGACAATTTCCAAATCACATTCGGATAATAAACTATGCATTTTATCCATAATAGTGCACTTCACACTATGCATGCACAATAGTGGCTGACACTGTTCTACTTTACAGTTGACTGTTCGCTGTTGCGCATTAAGTAGCCTAGTAATATTATGTTAATTGAATAAATGTATTTCTGTGAATGGTTTAATAATTAATTGAAAGGCACTAAAATAATATTCCCAAACATTTTGTTATGTAAATAATTTTTTAATCTGGAAAACAAATATTTTGAAAGTGATGAAAAAGGGTTTTTTTCAGTTTTATCAATTATATATATTCATGACATATTCTGGGTGAAACAAAATTTTATAAAGTAATTAGGGATATACAGGGTGTGCCAATTAAAACTTCCCATCTGGAAAATATCGGAATAAAAAAAAAACCTGAGACACGTCGATTTTCTTTTAAGGGATACCACATGACCGCGTAAATTTTGGTATCTTGGAAGCTACCCTTAGGCAGGGGCGTAAAATACCCTTAAACTTTAAATAGCACCCTACGTTGAATGACACCTCATTTTAAAGCATTTTCAATTCTGCTCACGACGACACACGACTTTTTAAATTTTGGTTTATATACGACAATAAAATCATCACTTAAATAATGAGAGAAGAACTTTAAGGGTATTTTTTAGGTAAACATTTTCAATACATTTTTTTTGAAAATTAATTAGCTGAAACTTAAATTTTTCGGGGTTGTACCTCCTGCTGTCACTAATAAAATACAAAAGCTTTCAATGCATATCCCTACTTCTGATTAACCTTTTTATATCCGTATCCACTTCGCGACAAACGTGCATTAGAAAATGGTTTGGCCTAAAACGTCATATATAAGTACTGTATGATAAATATATACAAATAATACATAAATATACGTGGCTATTTTATCAGTAACGTTACGACTTGCCTTTAGCAACTGGTTTAAACCAGTATGAAAACAGTAAAGCGGATAATTGAGAATTTCATCAAAGTACCACAAGCAACAGGTAAGTTGTTAAAGTAGAATAGTGGAATTCAAGATCGGATCGTTTTTCCGGAACATGTAAATGTGTTTTTAAATAAACATCGCCTTCACAACTGATTGAGAATGTACTAGGTCAGTTGTAACAACCACGTGGAAGGTGATATATTGACGAGGAATGTGAATAATTACCGCATCCAGATAACTAAAAATAGTAGAATTAGTTTTTAAGTGAAAAATCTGTTATTTGTAAAATACTATGAGGGATCAAACAGAACGGAACGAAACCTTATCGACTTGTAACTTACCTATCTTTAATGTTCAAATTTTTAATAACAATATTTACGTTCCATTCTGAGATGTATTAAATGAGAAAAAACTCCCTAACGCTTAAATATCTATAACACACTACAGTAAATATAAAAAAAGATTAGCATGGAAATAAATTCACTCAATAATAGAATTGTTTACTCCAATACATATTAAATATAGAATAAATGTCGTGCCATATATACGTATATATCAAAAATGTTTCGAATTAAATAACATTAATTAAATAAATAAAAATAATAATAAAAATAAAATTGATTAAATTAATATTAATCATTGGAAGTACCAAGGGTGTTATACAGTGTGGATACAAATTCTGGAATATTGCTTATATTTCTTAAAATATTCGTCATATCAGAAACATGTTTTAATAAAAGTGTTAGGGGAAATTATTTCCTGTTTTGTGATATCAAGCAATATTTCGTAGCACATAAAATATGGTTGCCAAGGTAACCGACTTAATTTTTTTAAACGACACTATATACTTTTTTTTGGTGAAAATTAATACATTGGACCTTTCTAAATACGATACAATACAATTTTAATGGGGTCACATAAGAAAAAAAATACAAAAAATTTAAGTTTTCTATTATGCTTTTGACACTGTTTATCAAAATAATTATTAACATCAAGAATCAGAACAATGCGAAACTGTCACTAGCTGTCAGTTGCTTGTAATTGTGTGCATTGTTGCAGTAAACGTACTTTTTTACTCAATATTCTGTGTACTTAAGTACTTAGTAAGTTATAATGGCGCTTGAGTTAAGTGAAACGGAAAGAATAAGTACAGGTTTTAATGGTGGTGGGATATGGTGACAGGAAAAGGACACAGCGGGAAGTATGCGAGTTGTTTAACGAACTTCATCCAAACAGACCTCAAATAACCACAATCTTGTGTTTCTAAATTGTTAAAAAAATTTTACGAGACGGGAAGCGTTAAAGGCAAATTACATGCAGGGCGGCCAAAAACAGCTACTGATGATGATACTACTTTAAATGTGCTTCTGTCAATACAAGAGAACCCACATTTGTCCAGTGGGGAAGTTGGTAAGGTGCAAGCCATTTCACACCGTTCTGTGTTGAAACAGCTCCACAAGGAAAAGTTTCATCCATACAAGATGCAGCTCGTTCGAGAACTTGTGCAAAATAATTTTGCAAAACGTGTTGAATTTTGTAACACTATGTTAGATAAATTTAACATGGATTTGGAATTTGGCAAAAAGATTGTGTTCATCGATGAAGCCACTTTTATGCTTCATGGATTTTATAATAAACAAAATTATCGATATTGGTGTCAAGAAAATCCTCACTGGATACGAGAAACTCGAACCCAGCGACCAGAATAAATTAATGTCTGGACAGGTACAGGTATACTAGGAAATAATATTATTGAACCATTTTTAATTGATGGGATCCTAACTGCCGACAAATATCTTAATTTGTTGAGAGAACAAATTGTACCTGCTTTGGAGGCCCTAGGTCCAATTCATCAAATGTGGTTTCAGCAATATGGATCCCCTCCACATTATGGAAAGGCCGTAAGAGATATCTAAATGAAATGTTTCCTGCAAGGTGGATAGGTCGCGGAGGTGCCATTAAATGACTATGGTCACCCGATTTCAATCCGTGTGATTATTTTTTGTGGGGTTACTTAAAAAGTATAGTCTACAAAGAAAGACCAGTAGATCTGGAGGAAAGATTGCTTGATATCACTAAACGGGAAATAATTTCCCCTAACACTTTTATTAAAACATGTTTTTGATATGACGAATATTTTAAGAAATATAAGCAGCAATATTCCACAATTTGTATCCACACTGTATAATAATAAGCCAGGGCTCTCGGGAAGTACACTAACAATCTTGGCGAATTATTAACTACATAATAGATATCTTAATTATTATGAAAAAGCTGAAAAATCGATTAATTGATTGAATAGTTTTTTTAAGAATAAATTTATGAAAACTCTTTCAAACTCATTTTTTGGGTGAATTATACCTTTTTGTACCATATTTCGTATTAAGTCAAGCTAACCTATCTCATGGCCAATTCCTGGCCAGACATGCATAAGTTAGCTTTACTTTTTTATGAAACACATTTAAAATTTTGTAATTGTATGTTATAAATTATAATAAACACAAATAAACATATACAGAGTATTTCATAAGGAACTTCGTATACTGTAATGATAGAATGATGCAATCTAGGGAAAACAGAATGACCTCTAAAAAAGCCCTAGATAAAAACTTTAGATATACAGGATGATTGTTTGAACTTTCACTAACACTCATTTTGACTACAGCTTTAGAACCACTGTGTGAATTATTTTATTTTTGGTTTACATATGTACCGCTAAAAGCCAACAGACTCTTGAAGACAAAATTCCAGGACCGTATTGGATAAATTCCTTTTCTTTCATAATCTATCCAGAAAGTTCGCCCTGCATATTTTTTAGGTATTTCGCACATCATATTAAAAGTAACAATGAAATTCTAATAACACACACTTGTCAACGTTTCTGTGGCAATGCGAACGATTAGATCTAATACTTTCGTATTTCTTTATAAATAATACCATGATTTCTTACTCCAGCTTTATGTACATTACAGAATTAAAAACCTCAAATTATACTGGAAACATAACTTATTCACTTGTCACATCAAAAAACATACATTTTTCCACTGTTTCGTATAAAATAAAACATAGCATACTGAAAGTACAAAAATCACGGTTTTATATTTTTGATCACGTTTTCGGAGGCTTCTGGAATAATAAAATCCTAGTAACATTTTTTTATCAGTTTTTCCTGTTATTTTAGGAATCAATTCAACCTAATTTTTGAACTTCAAATCGGTACACATCACAACTTCTATCAGTAATTTTACATACAAAACTGAAAACTTCTTGGAAAATTTGAAAAATAGTTTTCCCAGGGTTTCTTATTTTTGGGTAGCTACGTTTTAATTTTTTTGTTAAATTAAATTATTAAATGTGTTCAACATCA